GTTTCCTCCGTGGTTAGGCGTTGTATAAAGTTGGTGTGTGTACATATAGATATATATATATATATACTGCTGAAATAAGCAGAACAAACGAGAGCGGAGAAAAGTAAAGCGGTAATGCATTCATGAACGGTTTAAAGTCGGCATTCTCTCTAACAGAAGAAATGGTATTACCCCCATTTCGTTGGCCTTGTTCCTGGTGAGAAAAAGAGAGAAAGGCATCGCGCGTTGGTATTCTCAAAACGGAATAGTCCTTGTCGTATATGCCATCATCCCCCTTCCCTTTAGGTACAGTGTAGGATCTATATATAGTACAATGCCGCAGTACAATTCACGGGAAATATTTTCAGCAACCGGTGTAAAATCAGTGAATTCCACTTCGCGCTTTTCCAATACGTAACTCATCTCCCCCTCCTCTCTTCTTTTTTTCCTTCTTCTCTCTTTCTATTTCGCCTCTATCTTTGGAAGCATTCTTTCTCTTGGAATTTACACTTTGTTCCGTGTTAACGCTTTTCATGCGGATGTCACCAAGTCTTCGTGGACATGCAAAAAAAAAAAAAGAAAAGAAAAAGGTAAAGTGCAGATTTTTAAAGGCTTTGGAAAAGAAGATGAAATCGCAAAGAAAAGAACACACAGAAATCTTTCACTGACTTTGATGGATCAAAAATCCTTGCAATTTTGTGTCCCGAAGGGCTGGCGCATGAAACTTCCATCATATTTTACTTTCAGACTTTGACGGTAATAGATTCATAACAAGGAAACGGTTTTATGTTTTCTTCAAATATAATCTGCGAGAAATATATATATATCAATTATTAACAAGTTTTTCTTATTTATTTCGTGACAAGTGAATAATTGATTGTGAAATAAATTATATTCGCGTGAATTTTGTTATGTATATTAGAATTGTGTTCTTTTGTCGTTAGTCTTAAGGTGATTTATAAAATTACATTAACTTATATATATATATATATTTGCTCAACGTCAGCGAAAAAACTTTTGTTTTACTATTACGTTTTATAATTGCAATTAATTTTATCTAAAATACAGAGAGAGACCTAGTTTTTTGTTTCGTTTATCGGCACGACTATTGTACGCAAAGCGTGAATAAACACACGTATCGTGAGTTTATGAGTCCGACCTAGATGCATCTCGTGTAAAATCTACTACTCTGCATTCGTTAGATGGTGTCACTGATAAAATATACTTGGTAGCTAACAATCCACGAGAGAGTTTGTATATAATTTTGAAAGAAAAGTAGGTAATAAACTTGTTTATCATCTATAAAATTTTTCCGAACTATTTTTTGCAGATGTGTTTCTTTTACTGTCTATAATCTTCAATTAGAAAAGAAAATATTTATAAGGACAATAAAAAATGATTTTAGGCGTATAAATTTTGACACTAGTTCATTGTCTCTCTAATAAATTTTGCAATTGTGCACAAGTTGTTGATTGCAAATTGACAATGGAGGTGGAATTTGTGATTGTACAAGCAGAGTAACACATATGAACTCTACATGGTTCTGCATCGTTGGTCAATTATTTTAGCTACTACATAATGCTACAACGATTGGCGTAATTAGACAGTAGAAATGGCTGACTGCAGTTGTTAGGAATATATATCCCAGGTTCTTAACTACCTTCGTTTCCGTGTGCGGCATATTCCGAACGTTTTAGAAATTCGTCGGGATTTTGGACCCTCATCATCTTCTCTTTCTCTCTAATATTTGTTGATCCACTCTCCTCTGTGCTTTTGTGCCTTTTCCCCTTTGCTCTGAATAAAATATATGAAACTTAGGAAGATTAACCTTCACAAAACCATGGTATGAGATTTCGAAAACACAAATCCCGCTTGCCGCATGTAATGCGATTTTATAATAATAAATATATTACTACGATTCCATCTTCAATGATGAGGGGATTTATGGAAATGATATATTTCTTTTTTTTGTGTGTAATGCTATTAGTTTATAGATGACAATGTTGTTTACATGCTGGTATAATGATATATATTCTGGTGTAGAATATGTTTTGGATGCAAAATCTGCTATTTTAGATGATGGTGATGTTGTAGATAATACTGTTGCGATTTTAGATGACAATTTGGGTGTTTTAGATGATAATTCTGTTGTTTCAGAAAATAATGCTTTTGTAGGTGAAAATTCTACTGTTTTAGGTGACAATATTTGAATTGTATTGTAGAACTCTGCTATTTCAGATGATAATTCTGCATTTTTAGATGAAAATTCTACTGTTTTAGATAGTACTGATGTTGTAGATAATACTGCTGCGATTTTCGAAGGCAATTCAGGTGTTTTAGATGATAATTCTGTTGTTTCAGTTAATAATGCTTTTCCAGATGAAAATTCTACTGTTTTAGATGACAATGTTTGGATTGTATTACAGAATTCTGCTGTTTCAGATGATAATTCTGTATTTTTAGATGCAAAATCTGCTGTTTTAGATAGTACTGATGTTGTAGATAATACTGCTATGATTTTAAATGAAAATTCTGTTGTTTTAGATGATAATTCTGTTGTTTCAAAAGATAATACTGCTGTTCTAGATGAAAATTCAACTCATTTAGATGACAATTTCGCTGTTGTTGCTTTAGATACTAATGCAATGATTTTAGATGAAAATTCTACTGCTTTGGATGACAATTTTTTGATTGTTTTACAGAATTCTGCTATTTCGGATGATAATTCTTTATTTTTAGATGAAAATTCTACTGTTTTAGATAGTACTGATGTTGTAGATAATACTGCTGCGATTTTCAAAGGCAATTCGGGTGTTTTAGATGATAATTCTGTTGTTTCAGTTAATAATGCTTTTCCAGATGAAAATTCTACTGTTTTAGATGACAATGTTTGGATTGTATTACAGAATTCTGCTGTTTCAGATGATAATTCTGTATTTTTAGATGCAAAATCTGCTGTTTTAGATAGTACTGATGTTGTAGATAATACTGCTATGATTTTAAATGAAAATTCTGTTGTTTTAGATGATAATTCTGTTGTTTCAAAAGATAATACTGCTGTTCTAGATGAAAATTCAACTCATTTAGATGACAATTTCGCTGTTGTTGCTTTAGATACTAATGCAATGATTTTAGATGAAAATTCTACTGCTTTGGATGACAATTTTTTGATTGTTTTACAGAATTCTGCTATTTCGGATGATAATTCTTTATTTTTAGATGAAAATTCTACTGTTTTAGATAGTACTGATGTTGTAGATAATACTGCTGCGATTTTCAAAGGCAATTCGGGTGTTTTAGATGATAATTCTGTTGTTTCAGTTAATAATGCTTTTCCAGATGAAAATTCTACTGTTTTAGATGACAATGTTTGGATTCTATTATCGAATTCTGCTGTTTCAGATGATAATTCTGTATTTTTAGATGCAAAATCTGCTGTTTTAGATAGTACTGATGTTTTAGATGATAATTCTGTTGTTTCAAAAGATAATACTGCTGTTCTAGATGAAAATTCAACTCATTTAGATGATAATTTAGCTGTTGTTGCTCTAGATACTAATGCAATGATTTTAGATGAAAATTCTACTGCTTTGGATGACAATTTTTGGATTGTTTTACATAATTCTGCTATTTCGGATGATAATTCTGTATTCTTAGATGAAAATTCTGCTGTTTTAGATAGTAATGTTGTAGATAATACTGCTGCGATTTTCAAACTGCAATTCGGGTGTTTTAGATGATAATTCTGTATTTTTAGATGCAAAATCTGCTATTTTAGATGATAATAATGTTGTAGAGAATACTGCTGCAATTTTAAATGACAATTCGGTTGTTCTAGATGTTAATTCCGTTGTTTCAGAAGGTATTGCTTTTCTAGAAGGAAATTTCACTGCTTTAGATGATAATTTTTGGATTGCTTACCAGAATTTTGCTATTTAAAATGAAAATTTTTGATTTTTAGATGCAAAATCTGCTGTTTTAGATAGTAATGCTGTTGTTGGTAATACACTGTGATTTTAAATGAAAATTCTGGTGTTTTAGATAATAATTCTGTGATTTTAGATGATTTTACAATATTTTTTATTAATAATATTAACGACCCTGATGTTTTTTCATTAATATCTTTAATTGCCTAACATAATTAAAAAATCTTTGTTGATGCTATTTTTCTTATAAAATTCTTACTTTTATCACACCACATATGCAATTGTTATTCTCAGCATTATATAATTTCAAAACCATAAATAATTTTATCGTTTGATATTATAAATAGCGCTTTGATTATTTGCCTCTTTTTTTTTATTTACGTTATGCGCCATTAAAACATCTTCTCATTATAAGATGCGCTCCTGGCGCGGATATGGCATTTATTATCGAAATATCATTCGCTGAGGACGTTTAATTATATCAGAATGATGAGTCAATTAAAGCTGCAGTAGGTATATATACAGTTTTAGCGTGCAAGAGATAGTTATATATATGAAAATAGAAAAAAAAATCCTGAAATATGTCTCGAGCAGGAAGAACTGATTTTGATGAGCCTCGAAAAGAAGATGCTTTGAAGCGTTAAATAATGTTAGGTTCGATGAGCGCCGGCTGTCTAACGTTAAATTAAGATGACAACGACGACAAAAGCAGTAAGCTGCAATGGATTACCTGGGCGAGCAGTGGTTTTCGTCGTCCTTCCGGAACATTATTCCAAGGTTGAGGGTTCAAGTTCCGTTGGGATCATCTCATTTCGAGGATGTCTAATATAACCTTGTGTATATATGTATATAGCTTGAGGGACCGGACGTCGCGTCGTTGTGCTTGTTCCACTGTCCGAATAATTGGCGAAGCGCAATATGTACCAAACGCAAACAACTCGCACGTGTTTGGTCGAATTACTACTCCCCTATATATGCCATTCTCAGAATATACCTTTTTTTTTCTTATTCCATTTTCCACATGGTTTTTCATCAAATAAAAATTTTTAAATTCTAATTATCTCTTTGAAAAAATTAAATTTTTTTTTTCTTTGTTACAGGTGAGAAATTGCAATCAACAATTCAAAATTATACGGGCTTTGTAAGTAGAATTTTTTTTTGACTCTATTTTTTGGTGATGCATTGTGGCAAGTTCAACAAGTGGAAGCCTTAAATAGTTGAACTTTGTTAAAACACCTTGAATATTCGCTGGAGATTATTGCGCGAGATGAGTCTCTCTCTCTCTCTCTCTCTCTCTCTCTCTTGATATAATAATCCGTGTTCTCTCTCTCTCTCTCTCTCTCTCTCTCTCTCTCTCTCTCTCTCTCTCTCTCTCTCTCTCTCTCTCTCTCTCTCTGTATGATCCAAAACATCATATAAACCACTGTATGCGCCTTTACGCGTAGGAGGCATATACACAGAGGGCCTCAAACAATGTATGTTTATATTCCCTTGTGCCTTCGCAACCTGACTCGTTGTTATACATAATTATATATACATAATAACGCTTGGCGTCGCTTTCATCTCATGATTGTGAATAGAGAAATTATTATTCTACTACGAAACAGAAAAAAAAAAAAAAAAAATTATATATTTGCAACGGCTGTCTGTTCAACTAGTTTTCGTATATGTATATTTCAATTTTCCAAAGAATTATTTTTGAGATATAAATAAATTTTAAATGGCTTACATAAATTCTAGAGGTGGGAGGTTTTTGTTTTTTTTTTCCAAGTGAAGCACATAATCAGTATAAATTACGGTGTTACGTGACCATGTCTGGAAACCTTTGATCGTAGGTGTTGACACCCACGAAGTTTTTTTTTTTCGCACAAAAGATTATACATAGGAAAGACGAAACCCTTGTGTTTTTTTTTCTTCTTTCGAGACAAAATCCTAAAATAAAGGGTATGTTTTTGTTAACTTTTTTTTTCTCTCTCTCTAAAAAGGTAGATTTTCAAAGCTCAGAGGACAATGGTATATAATAATTGCTTGATTCCTTTTTTTTTATTAACAATGTTTAATTAAAACAAAAGAAAAAAATGTATATTTTTCTTTCTTTGATGATGAAAATGTTTTTTCGACTCGAAATGTAGTTAACAAAATTAAGAAGCGAAGTTAATTAGTTTATAAGTCTCTTGAAATTTTTTTTTTATTTAGCTATTATATGTAAAATGTAGGAAGTCTTTTTGACTATAGACTCATAAAAAATTTTTAAAATAAAAAAAAATATTATAATAAAAATTCGTTTTGCGAAATGCTTGTCACACACACACATGCCAGGGTGCATTTTAAGTTTCCGGTCGTTGTCGCGCGTGAAAAGAAAATTCAAATTCTAAACAACTTCTTCCTTTCAACCTCGTTTATAATTCATTGTGTCTCTGAGATGCCAGAATTTGCGAAAAAAAACTGAGGCGAATACGAGTAGGTGAAAATTTACATCTCTTTAAAAATTTCTCTTGCTTTTAGGAAAAGCGATTTTTTTTTTCATATCAATTTTTATGACAAATTTTTAATTTGTTTCTTCACTTCCATTTTTTTTAGATTTTTATCATAGAAAAAACACTGGGTAAATTTTGTTGCGGGTAATTTTAACCAATGCTAATTCACATAGACGGTGGCGCCCTCAACTAAGATAAAATTTGTTGCAGGTAATTTTTATACCGATTTTGGGGTAAAAATTCGACTTTTTTTTTTCGTGTGTTCATAATTATAAAAAACAAATATTCGACTTTTTTGGAAAAGAATGAAAATTAATTAAATTATTATTTATATTATTGAATCAAAGGATGATTCATTTCGATCAAATTTTCACGCATATATATATATATATGTATATAGTATCAAAGAACATTTAATTAAATGTTTGCTTTTTTATACAATTTGATTATATTTGTTTGCACTTTGATGAAAGTTTGTTTTCATAACTGCATCAAATATTCATAGGTATTTACTCCCTCGTCAATATAACTGTGCCATATATATATATAGGGGGGGGGGGGGGGTGGCGAAGGGTCCAGGTATTAAATTTTCGATGAACTTGTTATACGAATCGTCCATCAAGCATGAATATAGTGTAGAAGAGACGGAAAAGTGCGAGGGAGTTGGAAAATATTATAACATTGAGTAATTTTCGCTTCGAAAGGGAAAATCCCGTGACCGCAATTAATTTAACTCTTAAATAATTAATATTTATTTAAGATGAAAATAATTCTCTTGCGGTACAAATTTTCTTCTAGAAATATAAATGTGATGTTAATTTTCTTATTTATACAAAGAGAAAGAAAAAATAAGAGAGAGAGAGAGAGAGAGAGAGAGAGAGAAGAGAGTTGATATAACACCAATCTTTACTAGTTTTGTATAAACATTGTCTAAAGAGAAAGACATTTAACGTTGAAATTTATATTTGCATTATCATTACGTCGTTTATTTAACAATGTTGATTTTTATTTAGAAATTCGAGAATCACTGCAAAATTTTCGAAATTTAAATGTGGATTTGATGGGGCTTTGTCCAGTTTTCCCTATTTCTGATACTAGAAAAAACTGGCCAGAGCCTTGTCAGTTTTTCTGTGAATGTTACGATATTTTGTAAGGTATTTTATTATTAATCCATTACATTTTTTGTAATCTAGTCAAACTGTCGAGACCCTGAGAAGGGCCTTATTTTAAAACTATTGGGATTTCGGCGGGGAATTCTGGGTTAGAATCTAAAAAAAAAACAGTAAAAAGATTAGCTAAAAATAACTTTTTTCTTACGAAAGGTAGTTTTTAAAATGTAGTTTATATTTACTTTTTTCTAATTAGGAAAACTGGCGAGGTTCTTGCCAAAGAATTTTATATCGCAAGTGTCAATTTTCACACTTGCAATAACTTCATTTATAAAGCAATTTCATTGCATTTACACTGTTTAAATTTTATTTTCTTTTGTACTATTTAGTTTTGGGAGGGGCCTCGCCAGTTTTCCTAGTTTCGATTAAATGTAAATAAATCAAGTTTTCTAATTATCTTTAGTTTAAAAAAAGTTATTAACAAAACCCACTTGGAAAGATTCCCTGGAAAGTGCCCCCTGGAGGTTCTATTAGAATTCCGCCGGAACTTCCAACGTAATTCCGTCGGAATTCCAAAGAATTTCCTATGGGATTCCGATGGAATTCCGACGGAATTACGTTAGAAGTTCCGGCGGAATTCTGATAGAACCTCCAGGGGGCACTTTCCGGGGAATCTTTCCAAGTGGGAAGAATCTTTATTCTAGAATTTCAGTAATATTTTTGTTAGGGATTTGACTAGAAACATCAAATAAGATTTAAAATAGGGCTCTAGTTAGTTTTTTGCTAGTTACTCGTAATTTTTTTCAGTTTTTGGAAAAATTCGACTTTTTCAAATTATTATTTGTACAAAAAAATATTATCTCACAAAATAGAGTAGTTTAGAGGAATACTAACAGACAAGGCTTTAGCAAGGACCTCGCCAGCTTTCCTAGTTTGAATTAATATGTAAATAAATCAAGAACTGTTATATTTTCAGTTAAAAAAGGAATTTTTACGTTAAATTTTTAATAATATTTTTATATTTGGGATTTGATTAGTATTTCCTATCAAGTGGAATTTCAAATAGGGCTCTGGTTAGTTCTTAGCTAGTTTCTCGTAATTTTTTTCAGTTTTTGGAAAAATATGACTTTTTCAAAATAGTAATTGTACTAAAAATATATTATCACAAAATAGGGTAGTTTAGAGGAATACTAACATACAAGGCTTTAGCAAGGACCTCGCCAGCTTTCCTAGTTTGAATTAAAATGTAAATAAATCAAGAACTTTTATATTTTCAGTTAAAAAAGAAATTTTTACGTTAAATTTTTAATAATATTTTTATATTTGGGATTTGATTAGTATTTCCTATCAAATGGGATTTCAAATAGGCCTCTGGTTAGTTCTTAGCTAGTTTCTCGAAATTTTTTCAGTTTTTGGAAAAACTTTTTCAAATTATTTTTTGTAAAAAAAATACTATCTTACAAAATACAGTAATTTACAGATAAACTGACAAGGACAAGGCTTTATTAAATAAGATTTAAAATAGGGAAAATATGACTTTTTCAAATTAGTAATTGTAACAAAAAATATTTTATCACAAAATAGGGTAATTTATAGGAGAAAACTTGACAAAGATCAGACCAGTTTAACATTTTTGTTTTTATTAAAAATAAAAACAAAAAAAGTGATGCAATCAACTCTTAATGAAAATATGCAGACATAAATGTTTTCGGGCAATAGTCTTTTTTTTTTTTTGCTATCCGGAAGCTTACTTATGCTGGTATCACACGCAATCCATGAGATGGTGAAGGAAAGAGTGTGTGACAATGCACGTGACCGATATAATACGATAGAAACACACGATAACACATTCGCGGGGCAAAACTGACACGAAGTGTGTGCGTAGAAAAGATAAGGGGACCTGCGTGTAGAGCTTGTGTAAATCAAGGGCGCTTTTCTCTCCTTTGCACACAATTATTTAAATCCTCGCTGTATGTGTGTGTGTGTGTGCGACTCCAATTTTAAATGCGCATCGAATTTCTTTATCAACCCCTTTTTATTATTGCAGATTTCTCTCTTGAAATTTTTATCTTATATACACCCGCATCAAATATTCGCATTTTGTCTTAAAATGCGATGATGTGGTATTATTTTTGCACATGATAAAACACGTGCGTTCGTTTCATATATATATTTTAAAATATTTTCAAGTCGATAAAAAAAAAAAAAAATTTCTTTTCTCTCGGGACACATTGGAATGCGATAAGTGTTCTTCTCGATGGAAAATGAGTCAGTGTTAGTTGACTCATGGAAAGAATTAAAAAATCTCTAGAGAAATATTTTTGCTCGTAAATCCCCTTGTATTATTATGATTTGATTCATTAGGTTGGAAAATTAATTCTTATTTCAGATTTTCTAATTGAGAATTAAATTTTATATTTTATTTGTAACGGAAGAAAAGATTTATTTGCGATACAAAGAAAATTTATTTGTTTCAAACAAATTGTTCCGCTTAGAAATTGACATACCAGGGCCCTAGTAGGGAATTTAACGCCATACCTTATAAGGGCCAAATC